TTTCAACGAAATAGGATGAATACTTCTCATATAGTAATTATTTTACGTGTATTGATTGTTTTATTCAATTGAGCCTTAGTATGTCTCAGCTTTTGTATACACATTATATTTAATGAACCCTACTTAACGAGGGATAGGGATAAAAAAGATTACATAGATTAATACGTTGAGTAGTCTTTTATTAATTTTACTTTACTTTATTGTCTTAGATCTCTCTTTGAATCTGACGAAACACGCACGGACGATCAAGAACCAGTCGAATTAGCTTCAGAATTTCAGCACCTCCTTTCTTGGGCATGGAACAATCTTCGAGTAAGCTAATATTTTACTTCATACAAGTATTACTTTTGAATGGCAATGCTATTTTATTTTCTTAGCGTAGTTAAGTCTTCATATTATAAAAAAATCTTTAGGCTATGGGATGCGTGGTAAATGAGCTATCAATAAATCCAAAATACTTGTCATGACAGGTTCATAATAGACGTTGTACTTATGGAGAGGCGCTAAAGGCGCGTCCCCTTACTTAAATGGAAAATATTATAAGTATGCACAAGTTAACAAAATAAAGCTATAAAAACTTTAAGTTAATCCTGATTGCCTAAGAAATCAATGTGAATATTATACTTTGGAAAATGTAATTGAAACATAAGGTCTACTCATATGATCGTTGAAAGATCCAACTACCAGTCAATTATCACCTTCATAAATTGTGTGATTGCATCTCGTATATGTATGTTCTATTATGAGTCTCGAAAGCCTGTTTACAAACTAATCTTATTTTGCCTAGATTTAAATCGCTTTTGCTTCTTTTTAATTTTTTTAATACTTAAATTCTGTTAAGAAAATTAATTTCTTCATTTTTTGGTCACGATCTTAGTTGACTATTGATCAACTTTACACGTAAGATATATCTATACGTATAAAACCCAAAAAATATTCATTTTACTTGATTAGATTGTTATGACATTATTTGCAAAATTATATGTGTTCGCCCTATTTCGTTTAAAGTGATTAAGGACTAGTATTTAAATTTTCGCACATTTATTTAAATAGGATAGCAGTTGTATGACCTTGTTTTTGCAACTTGGTTATATTGGTAGGAAGACTTAGAGAAATGCACCTAGTCCGGAGTCAATTGTGTGCATGGTAATTTTCAGAGTCGGACCGTGGGCGTGGTACATTCAGAGACGTTTTGCCGGCATCGTAGTTGGAATCATCATTGAGTTATTCTTAGCACCACACTACAACTCGTCAAAGAGACAAGTAAAGCTGATCCTTTGACCGATTGTCTGCTAAACAATCGTGATCTATCCTTCCCCCTGGGTTAATCGCCAATCCCATATCCTTGTGTCACGCCTTCGCAATCACAATTTTTGCTTGCTTATATAAATGTGGTATGGTGTGCACTTTTGAGTGGCTGTTATGAGAACTCTCCACACTCCACGCTGACTTTCTCACCCACTCATTACCCTCAACCCCCTTCACCCGTGTGCTGGGAATGTTGATCAGAGTCGGCCCTATTGTTACTAATTCCTCCTTCCAGAGGTCTTATCAGAGTCTCCCTCTTGCCCCGTAGAATCCGTATCCTATCTCCCTGGTTCAAGTATTTCACATGACCCCTGCCTAACTAATTTGTGCTACTCGAGGCGTTATTTCCCACACTGCGTCTGGGAGGCTAATTTGGGGCCTAAAGTAATTCTTATTGTCAAGCCTTTGCTCTATGGACCACATCTATGGTAGAACAGGCCTACTGTCAGCCAACTAGCTCTAGTATTCGCCGCGTCTATCCTTTTTCTATCACTAATACCAAGTCTTTGACTTCCTATGCCCTAATATCTTGTTTGCTAACCCACAAATGAGGTGCTGCTTGTTTTGCCTACGTTCAATGTTGGGAAAAGAAATTGCGAGACCTGAAAGGAACAAGCATAAGCCAAGAGGAGACGTCTTCATTGAGCCTAATCCAAACAAGTAGAACCACAGCATGTGTGGTTAATGTGAGAATTATTCAGAGGCTTTAGCCTAAAGTTAGTCTCCCAGACGCAGAATGAGGAAAATAATGCCTTGAGTAGCACAGATGAGGTGGCAGGGGTCGAGTGAAATGCTTAACCCAGGAAGATAGGATACAGATCTTACGAGGCAAGAGGGAGACTTCGACAGGACCTAGGGACGGAGGAATGCGCAACAGTATCACAGACTCTGATCAACACTCCCAGCAAAATTTTGATGATAAATAAATTAGATGCATTAGGTATATTCACCCTATTTTGTAAAAAAATTGGGTTGAAGAATTCTTTGATATCTTCATATTGGAGTACCTTTCATTTCGTTTGAAGAGGCGAGAGAAAGTGAGTCGTAAGTTTGTTCCACCGGGGGCTGTGTTGGGTAGACTTGGAGCTTTGGTTGTAGATTTGTGCGGCGGTACCACCCAGCGACTCCGATAAATTCTTGCTGAGCTTTCTTAGAATATCTTTCATTTCGTTTAAAGATGCGAGTGGAAGCCGGCCACTATTCTTGTCTTCGTGTTTTATTTGTGAATTATTGTTAACCATGGTGTCCTGCTCTGATGATGTCCGTCACATGACACAAATCTACAACCAAAGCTCCAAGGCAACTCCCCCACATCCTCTGTTCGAACCAACTTACGAATCCCTTCCACTCACCTCTCCAAACAAAATGAAAGGTACTCCAAAATTCACCCTATTTTGTTTGAGATAATGAAGAATTGGTAGCTGAAATTACCCATGATGATATGAGTAGGTCTTATGTTTCCCCTGGATTTCATATAGCCTTGTTTCTCACAAGGTGAGGTCGAAACTTTAGTCCTTTCTGGATGGAAATACCTTTTGGGAAGTAAAGCTATTTGAAATTCAATAAATACGTTAGGTCTACGGATATCATTGGGAAAATTTAATTAACATTCCTTAATCACCTTTAACGAAATATATTCAGCAATCTTATATAGTTGATTTACTTGTAGTCTAGAAATCTTACAAAAAAATTATTTGCTAAAACTTTCACATAACAGCAATTTTTTTATATATTTAATCCATCCGAGATCCTTTACTTTAATATTGCTTTGAGACTTATTATAGTTATAGTTAAATTTGATTATTTTCTTTATCCTCTTTCAGCTGTCTGCCAGCATTTTGGCGCGATGGGCGGTGCTCAATTCTTCTATAGCTGACCTAAACGCAGTGTCATCATCAACCCCTTCGCTTAACGCTGGCGTCGGGCTTACGCCGGATTCACTGAGTGAATGGTTGAGTCGGATCACTGTCCTCCTTTTGCACGTCCTAGTGCACTGTCGACACCGAGTAACAGCAATGAATTTTCCTGTGCCTCTACTTTAAAAAAATTTCTTTGCCTAATTATCGAGCGAGTCTTGGTTTTGCTTAAAGTACCAAAGTGTATGTTCTCACTCAATTTGAAAAATGTAATATTAAGCAATCCTTTAACAAAGGGCTTATTCTAATTTAAGCCTTCACTAGCTTCTTTTTCTGTAGTGCTTTACTTTAAGTGGAAGGGCTATGATTTTAATTTTCCTATACTCATGTCACTTCCTCATTTGATGACAAGGGTCTCTTATTCAAATATGTTTGTCCTATTCATTAATTCTACCTGAAAGATATTTCACTATGATTAAACATTCTTTGAATAAGAACCTAAAAATCATTGGTTTTGGCGAAAATGGTATAGGAACTATTTAATTTTCTCCTTTTATATTAAATGGTAACAAATTTAATATGTTCTCCCTCATTTAATTTATCATCTCATTTGGAATCTAAGAATATGACTTAAATTATTTAATAATATGCTGCCTAGGTTTTAAATGTCATATTTTCAATGAGACTTAATAGGTTTTAGCGGCACCAGATCCTCTTATTTTAGTCATGTATTCATCTGGCCCACTCTTAGTTGTCTCTTGAGAATCTTAGTCAGTATCGTAGTTGAATGATCAATGGGCAGAACTATTCTTGGAGCGTATGCTGCAAAGGAACATCGAAAAATTATAATATTTATATTACATTTATTTTAATATCAAGTTTTCCATTATCCATTTGCCACTCCTTCGCACTGCTTACATCCATCTTCTTCCAGGGTACTATTGAATCCGTCTCATGCAGCCTTGAATATCTACTTTCTCACTCATCAACCTCTTTCGCTTTCTGGCCATTTCCATCAGCAACACCATCCCGTGGGCGTAACATGCACAACAAACCACTCAATAATTCTACCAGAAAATCGTATATCACTCAGTCAAGCCTAAGCGAGAGGCATTTGAACGGCTTTACTCCAGATTCAGACTGCGGCGTTGAGTCTGGTACTATACCTATTGCCTCTGTACCACATACTTCCCTTGTTTGCAGTGCTGAATTTTTGCATCCAACACCGGAGGCGGTGCTCGAAATCTGCTGGTCTGCTATATCGAATAAAAAAACTGCCTTCTCTGTGACCAGACGCTCGGCTGGCCTTTGGCCGGCTGTTCGTGCGGCTCTGGTTGCCGAAGGTATCCGCTCAAAGGCTGTTGCCAATAGAAGCCAGGTAAGAAGGATAGAATCAAAGACTATAGGTATAGCTAAGATAAAATATTGAACTAAAGATGGTCAAGCATGTATTTTTCGTTTATAAACGAAATTTCTAGACTACCACTAAATCATTTATATGAAATGTATCCATCCTATTTCGTTTAAGGTGATGAAGGACTAGCATTTTAATTTTCTTACTGATATGAGTAGATCTGACGCTTTCATTGAATTTCACATAGCCTTGCTTTCCTAAAATTTATTGTTGGGACTTTCATTTTGTGTGAAAGTGTAAAATGAGATTCGATTGCCGATCTCACCAGAATAGGACGGTTGAATCCTGTTATACTATATCTGTTTGGTTTTTATACGACGTTGATATTGATGCAGTCCGCGAGACATCCTCCCTCTTTTTAGGTGAAAACGGGCCGAGCTTTCATCCATCATATGATGGACATCATCAGAGCTGGAACTCATTCTTCTAAAATTATCAAGTTAAAACTAAGACAAGAATACTATCCGGCTCTATCTTATCTCTTATATATTCTCATT